TATATATATATATATTGAAATATTTAAGAATTAAAGATCCAATTTCGACTGTTATAGGTTTTAAATTCTTACTTGTTATGTATTTAATAGTTTTATCGTACAATTAACATTTATATTAACATTATGTTTAAAAATTACTCTCAAAAAAAGATTACCTTTGTAAACAACTGGTATAGTTCCTTGTAAGTTGAGTAGTTCCTTACGCGAGCCATCATTGAAAACTAATTGTGAATGGCAAATAAGTTTAATGGATTTAGGAATATCAAGAAGCATATTTAAGATTATTGTTGCAATTAATTTTACTTACCAAAAGGTTCAAGTTTATACACCAAGCCTTTGTAGGTATTTAAGACATTTATTACATGCTTCTTTGTTATATCTGGATTTTGATACTGAAAAACAACATTCTTTTTTATATTATGAAATCGATGTGATAACATCATTAATGTAACGATAAAAATATTTATACCTTAGATATGCCTTGTCTAATCCTCCCCTCATCAAACGGCGTCATTTTCACCATTTAGCGTAGCTAAATCAAGATAGCGACAGGTTCTGCTATCTCTCTATCAGACGTGTCCCAATAACGTATCAGGATAATTTTTTAGACGTTGCAGTAATAAAATAGAAGGCAATTATCGTTGAGCAAGCTTGTGTCTGTGTTATCATTGATGACTGCCTCGACGGAATCTTAATACGATGAGATCATCAAAGGGTTGCAAAGAACTTATTAATTTGTCACATAGGAATGTAGAATGCACACAAAATGTCATCATGAACCATCATGAATAATTTGGTATCACTGTCGTGGGTGTCATTCCATCATGAACTAGGCAAATTATCGAGAGACCTTAAACGCAATACGCTCGACCAATTGCAGCTAATAGCGTTTTCGGCCCGATCGGGTTTGCACCAACCTGGGTTGGATTAATCTTTCCTATTGGTTGACATCACCTGCTCTACCAATAGGAGAGCACAAAACTCCATTAATCCAACCCAGGTTGGTGCAAACCTGGC